GTAATTTTCAGAAGTTCTGCAGGCTGCACCAGAATGGGTTGTATTCTCACATGGTCTCTGGAAATTAGAATAGAACAGAGTGGAGAGGAGAGGAGAATAGAGAAGAAAAAGGAAGAGAAGAGAGAATATATAGAATAGAATAGAATAGAATAGAATAGAATAGAATAGAATAGAATAGAATAGAATAGAATAGAATAGAATAGAATAGAAGGAGAGGAGAGGAGGGGAGAGAGNAGATAGATAGATAGATAGATAGATAGATAGATAGATAGATAGATAGATAGAAGAGAGAGAGATGGAGGGAGGGAGGGATAGAGAGATGGATGGATGGATGGATGGATGGATGGATGGATGGATGGATGGATGGATGGATGGATGGATGGATGGATAACTACAGGGATAGAGAAGGATAGAGAGAGAGAGAACAATTGATGGATGGAAAGGGATAGAAGTGTCTGTGTGTGTGTGTATGTGAAAGATAGAAAGATAGAAGTAGAAAAAAGATAATTATTTGCCATACTATTTTGTTTTAGAGGCAGAATGAAAGATAGTTACCAACCTGTGTCCTCATCCCTGGCAATGGTGATACAGCTGTTGACCGAAAATGAACATTTCTGCTCAGATGTGTTGCAGTTATAACCTTCTGAACTGGTGCAGTTGAAGCAGAAGATGGCATCAACTATAGGGAAATTTTGAAAGAAAGCAACTAAAAATCATCTTGATGAGGTTGGCACTAGAACCATTCTCGTACCTACCAATCTCCAACCTGAATAGAGCTTTGGACAAAGAGTGTGTTTCCAGTGGTTATTTTGTGACCCAAGATGGGTATCAAATATCAAATCCGAAAGCCACATCTCTCCCATCCCCAAAGCCTTCCTATTTTAGATCACGAGCAAATGGAAGAAGCTAAAACATTCAACACTTGTAGGATGTATGCTTGTGACTTATTTTGGAAATTGTCTTCAGAAGCAGGGGTGGAATTCAGTTTTTTTCTACTACTGGTTCTGTGGGTGTGGCTCGGTGGGTGTGGCTTGGTGGGCGTGGCAGGGGAAGGACACTGCAAAATCTCCATTCCCACCCCACTCTGGGGCCAGCCAGGAGTGGCATTTGCCAGTTCCCCAAACTACTCAAAATTTCCGCTACCGGTTCTCTAGAACCTTTCAGAACCTGCTGGATTTCCACCCCTGTTCGGAAGTATTTTATGGCATTCAGTACCCCAACGAAGACGTCTACATTCTACAGTGCGTGGACTCGATTCCACTAAATCATTGTTTCCCGTTGAACTTCCCCTAATTGTTCTTCTTTTAAAAACTCACGAATTTTGCTGGGGGAGGGAGAATCAATATAATTTTTTTTAAAAAACCTGAAAGAGGACCCACCCAAATGTGTTAGAGATCAATGATCAGGCTGAACAAACACACCAGTTCCTTCCCTGTTTTGGAGCTGAGTCAACTCAATTCGCCCTACCTGTTGCAGAACAGTTAATCCTTAAGGCTGAGAGCTAAGGATTATAAAAATTAAGATGGATAAAGTCCAAAAAAATAATAATAATCCAAGAGAAAAGAAGAGAAGGGCAGTTGGGTAGAATTGCAAAGAATCTCATATTTCTCAGTGACTGGAGCAGACCGCACTGAATCACGCATAGCATTACTTTTCAGATGTCTTAAAAATGTAAAACAAACACCTCTTAAAGCACATTAAGCTTCTGTTGTTCCTCATTAGAGAAACTTAGTTGAGCAATCTTAGGGCAAATAAGGACAGTTACAAAAAAAATTGACCAAAGTGTGTCAGTGAAAGAGCCTGACATGTAAGGGGGGGGCTCTATTTTGGCCCCATTCCCTTGCTGCCCTTTGCACATGATTATTTTGTGAGTCCCTTGGACGGCAAGGCGATCCAACTGGTCAGTCCTAGAGGAGATCAACCCTGACTGCTCTTTAGGAGGCCAGATGCTGAAGCGGAAACTCAAATACTTTGGCCACCTAACGAGAAGGAAGGACTCCCTGGAGAAGAGCCTCATGCTGGGAAAGAT